CTTGAATTGCATTACTCACTAATGCTGGTTTACCATTGGAATTTTGGTATTTTGCTTGTGCACTGATGTGTTTTCCTGGCTTAGGCCTTACAATTCTAATAAGCTTCAAACAAGATCAGTGTGCTTGAAGAATTCTCGATTCACTTAGCCCACACCCCTACCCCTTAGTATATATAGTGTAGATAATATTGTTTGTTCGAAAAAGACTACTTGAATTATCTCGCCATAAATGTGGTATTAACACCCTCATGTACAATTAATATGATATGAAATATAGCTATTTAGTACTATATATTTCTCTTCACTTGTAAGTAAATGGTCTTAGGTTAAAATTTCGTAAATGACAAGTTAGTGATCAAGTTATTCCCCTCCCCCACCCTGCTTTTTAGTGTAAATATATTGTTTTATAATAATTGTATGTTCATCATCCTTCTTGTCGTCGGTTGTTAGTTGTAGATATAATTAGAGTGTCATTGCCGTGTGATATTCTTTTGTAATCTTTCCTTTTTCTTTCGGGTTTATGCACTGTTGTCAAACAAAAGAAAAATTAAATGCATGCGAGGGTTTCTTTGGTGTGAGCACACAAATTTAATGTCTAATGAAATAATAACACTTCATACTAAGAGGGAGCATAAGACGAATTTGCTGTTAAGTCGTATGACGTCAAAAGTAGCACTAGGGCACTAGGAAATTTTCTAAGACTTTTTTTTTAACACCCTTTTTAATTGAAATCTTTTCTTTAGAATAAAAGTGAACCAAATAAAACCAAGATAACCGAAAGTGAGAAGCCAATATCACCATTAAGAAAGGAAAAAAAAACAAAAGAAAATTAATGAAAAAAGCTTGAAAACTTTGAGTTTTAACGATAAGGACAAAATAAAGGGTAAAGTGAATAATACCATGATTGACTTTTTAATGTAAAAATGTTGTTTTTCGTTAAAGTGAACAATACTATGAACTTTTCGTTAAAATTCTCAAAAAACAAATGTGCATAATACAACAAGAACATTGAGTGGACGTATAGTCTAATTGAATTCGAGTAGACTTGGAAAAGAAACTGATCAACTGCCAATAAATATGGGATTAAGTTGGGTCTTGTAAAAATCTTGACAAACTTAAAAAGTAAGAACGTGTTTAAAATATGGAAATTTTAACGAAAAGCTCATGGTATTGTTTACTTTAATGAAAAACCACATTTTTACACTAAAAAGTCAATCCCAGTACTATTCACTTTACCCTTTATTTTGTTCTTATCATTAAAACTTAAAGTTTTCAAGTCATTTTCATTAGTTTTCCTTTAAAATAAACTATGAAATAAGAGAGAATAAGAAAGAACATAGAGATTGGGAGGAGAAATGTGATAGTCTACTTTTATTATCATTCGACCCCTTTATATAGGGTAAGGGTAACTTGGAAGAGAAGCTCAAATGTCTCTACTTTACATCAACGATTATATAAGAGATTAACCACACAATTGGTTACGAATATGGACAACCACATAGACAAGTATTTGCTACAAAACCCTTTAATTTAATATTCTCATAAGTTTTATTAATGTCAATCATGAAATTAGATAGTTTATGCATTTTGAGTCACATGCATCTACAGTTCATAAATTGCCTAAAGTTGCTTACAAAGCTTGGATTTAAAAAAAATAAAAAAAAGGTTTCGGAATTCTAGTAATTTCCTACTGTAGTGCAGCCATTAGGGAAGCAAACTTTACAGACATCAACTTAGTTCTAAATGTATCTAGTTTTAGATTGGTGCCGACTTGTGCAAAGCAGACGTTTCAATTTCACTCTTTCTATATGTTAACTTGGGTCCTTTGTTGCCCTATCAATATAATGTATAGCCATGATCCCTGCGCCTCTTTGAGGAAGTCCACGAACACCCACATGAACAAAGGGCCAAGCTACCAAGCCCACAAAATCAGCCTACGAGTTTTCAGCACCGAACGCTGCATCAGAAATGGTCGTAACCGGAGCGCCCAAGTCATTGAATTGTCAAAACCTTACCACTGATCAAAAGAAGAGAGCACTCGGCTCAAGTACTTTCCGTCTGCTTCAACCAAGTGTCAGGCCTCACACCTTTCCAACACAAATTCAAAGAGGCAAGTCTAGTCCAAACATAAACTCCGTGCCATGTGTGGATCATCAACATAGAAGATAGCCCACAGTAAGTAGGCCGGTAAACACGTCGGGTTTATTGGGTTTGAGTCGAGTTCAATTTGACCAGTTAAATTAACAGGTTATCTGAACCTGACCCGTTAAGCTAACCAATCACCTGTTTCACTCGTTAACAATTATTATTATTATTTTTTGCATAGAGTTTATTTTATGTTGTTAAGATTTTACTGAAATTATTAAAACATCCTCAACTAATGGGTGCTAACGGATTGACCCAAAGTGATCCGTTATTTAACGAGTTCACCCGTTAGCGACCCGACCCGACCCGACCCGTTAAGCATCAATCCAAATACTAATATTAACATGTTAGATTGGGTTAACGGGTCGGGTCCAAAATGTCAGGTACAACGGTAAATCACAGGGAACAATTATAGGGAGTATTCGATATGACTACTTCACGACCGCCTTCAAATGAGAACCTCTCCTAAACAACTTTTCAACGTGGAAACCCGAAGAGTAGACATGCTTGGATGTTAACTCCGCTCCACATGTTAGCCGCTCACAAGAGGGATAGCTTGCGGTCCGACAATTAAAAGCCCAAGACTTTTTTCTTTTTTTGGCCGAAGGAGAATTATATACCAAACAAACACAACTACAACAAAGGCCCAACACAAAACAAAGATATAACCAAAAACAGGCCTAAAACAAAACCAAAACAGAAAAAAGGCCCAGCAAGGCCCAGAAACCAACAGCTTCCGCCAGAAGCTTCCACAGCCATCGTCCCCCTCGGAAACAGGTCATTCAGCTGATGCCCAGCCGCCATCCAGTAGCGTATCCACAGATGCCACCTCCAACCCACCAGAGCACAGCCACATAGTTTTTGTAGGAATAATCGGCAACCAAGTGAGCGGAGCCGATTAACGGAAGGAAGTTCGTGAAAGCCCACGAACAACACTGTCGAAACCGAGGAACAACTCGGAACAGTCAGACGAAGCGGAGAAAGTGGTGGTGGTGGAACCACCCGAGCCGGTGAAGACACCAGAACTCTACACACAATCTCCTAAATAAACTTGGCTGGCGAGCAGATCCAGGGTGAACAGAGAAGAGGGTTACCAGCAGGAGTAAAGAACCGGAGAATGCCAGAGAGAAAATTGGGGAGAGATAGCAGTAGAGGCAGGGAGAGGAGAAGGAGAAGAGAAAAGAAAAAGCACGGCAACCAACCCCGACCGAAGCCAGGGCTGGTGCCACCGGAAAAGTCCAAAATCAAAAGACTCACAAACAGTGAGAAAACACTCTCAGGTCAGAGAGAAAGAACTCCCACCGAGGAGAGAAAGAAAGTTCTAGCCCAAGACTTTTTGGACTAAGGCAAGGTCTATATAAAGAGGAGGAATAATCCACATAAGAGGTTGGATTTTCGAGGTGAACTACTTAAATTTGTTGTTTTTGCACCACTAGCACATCGACACTGACAAAGAGTTGTCACACCAGTCCTTTGTTGACTTCCGATATTTGAGTGTTGACAACTTAACAATGTACCGGTTGCCCTTGATGCTTTCTTATTTAAGTTTTCTTTTCTCTCAAAAGAAATTTTCACAGGTAAACCAGCCTTCTCTTTTACCGATTAAGTTGCAACTTCCCGGCATTGCTATTTTAGTTTTGCAAGGCATTTCAGACCCAATTGTAAATAAAAAAAAAAGTACAAATTTGATTGATTTTCTTATGATTTAGAATGCAGTTAATTTTGAAAAAATGATAGAATCCAACCGTCTTTCGGAAACAGCTCTTAGAGACAATTTAAACTAGCACCATTTCTCCATGGTTAAAAATAACATGATCAAACATGCAGCCTCTCTATGCAAGCTTGCAGTCCAGCACCCATAAACCTCTTTAGAGGTGGAAGAAGAAGATTGATAACATGATTCATCGTCTGCATCAACTTATAAACAAGTCGAAGATGTTTATTAATTTGTTTGTTTCAGTTAAATTTTAGTTGTTTTTTTTTTATATTTTAGTTTTTGTTTGTTTGTTAACTAGTAAGGCATTTTGCTCTTTGTTCATAAAATCTTATAATTCATTAATAAGCAACAAAAATCTATTTTGGTTCGTCAATTTTTGAAAGCTTCTATGTTTGACGCAATCCGCCCAGTTGGCATTCTTAACATTTATTTTGTTTTCGACCAAAAGAAACATTCATGCAATAATGAAGTTTTGTATAAACTCGAGCTTGACGTAGTGGAATGGACTTGTGTAAGCGTGTGTCATCTTCTGTTAGAAGATTTAAGACGCAAATATGGTGTCAACTCATGCATGTTGTATGTAATGTGGTTTTGTTTCCTATGATCCGATATCATTTGGAGTATGTGGCTTCAATTCATAAGGGTTTTTTTTTAGGAGTTTTAACGATACACTCCTGGTACTGTTTACTTTTAACAAAAAACCATATTTTTACCTTTTTCTAATACTATTAATTATACCTTTAAAAATAACTTTTCATTAAAAATGAATTTTTTTTTACTTTTCATTAATTTTCCTTTTTTTTTTTCACTTCGTCTCTATTGCATGTTTGTAAATAGACATCACATTGAATAAATTGCTGGAGTAAACTAAAGTAATTGGGAAGATGAATATATTAAAGAAATGTGATATTCACACATTTTTTTTTACTTCTCACACTCCTAGCAAATTTTTGACTACCGGATCGAATGAAATGAAGAAAATTAACTGATAAAAATTAACAAAAGATGTGTGAAAAAGTAAAAAACGTGTGTGTAAATAGCACACACCTTTTTGTAATTGCAGTATTCCGTAATAAAATAAAATGTTTTAATTCTTATTATTTGCATATAAATAGCAAAATCCAGTGTTTGTGGCGGTACACGAGTAAAAGACTAGGCTGCACAATCGATTTCCATGGCCTGCACAATCGATTTCCGCCGCCTAGACGAAGGCTTTGGCGGCAAAACCTACAAGCGCAAGAGAAACCCCCAAGCCTCCGACGAAGATGCCTCTGTCTTTGGCGGCGCTGCAATGGAAATCGATGACTCGTATCCACCTCCAGCCAAGCGGTCGGCGGTACCCTCGTCTGACAACCCTGACAAGCCCAGCTTCGGGAAGCCGAGCTACGACGGCGTCATCGCGGGAAAAGTCTCCGGGCGGAAGTGGAAGCAGCCAAGGAAGCAGAGGGCGTCGGCGGCGCAAGTTAGCCGAAAGGGGACGACGTTCGAGGAGAGGGCAAAGGCGAAGGAGATAAAGAGGGCTTACAGAGAGAGAATGACGGAGCTGAAGGACGAGATCAAGAAGAACAAGGAGGAGAAGAGGAGGAAGAGGGAGGAGAGGGAGAAGAAGAAGAAGGAGAATATCTTGAGGTCTGGGACTAAGCTGCAGGTGATTTCGAACCCGAAGACAATCAAGAAGATTGCAAAGACGAAGGATCGGAAGCTCCTCCAGCCGGTTCCGGAGCATTTGATCAACAAGAACAGGAGGAAGAGGAACAAGAACGACGACGAATAGGCTAGTCAGTTCGTTTACTTTTCGGTTTTTATGTTTGGGGTTGGATTCAATTTTGATCCTTTGTGTTTGTTTTCAGAGTTGCTATGTTCTAATATAGTTTCTTTCGTATGCGAAATCTTTTGCTTGCTCGAATTTTGCAGTTATGAATTACTTATGGTTGATATTTATTCGATGAATGGAAAGGAAGACAAAGATTAAGGTACTGATTGTGAGTTGTATGATGGTGTTGATAGATTGGTGTTTCGTTTCGATACTTCAAACTATTTGCACAATACATGTATTTTGTTTGTAGATTGTATCCATATTGCCGGCGTTAATCGCTGTTATCCTGTTAGTAATAGTTGGTTAAGGTGTTAAAAAAATCTTTTATTTATGCGAGCAAGCAGTGTTGGTTTGTTTGGACCTGTTTCGAAGGCTTCATTTTCACTTGGTTACAGATATGGGTGACCTAGTTGACTCGGCATTAGCTTCTCTTTCGGCTTTTTATTGTTCTTGTGCCCTCTTTGTGCTGTCGACGGGATGGTATAAACTTCCTAGTGTTCTTAACTTAGTGTGGCAAAGCCAAACACCTATTCATAAAGTTACTGATTCTCTATTATAATGCATAAACTTGTATCTCGATAGGTCTAGTTCTAAACTGTATGGATTCAAGAAATGACATGCATTTTCGTTGATGTTCATTCTTTACCCCTTTCTTTCCGTTGTGTTTTTAGGTATTTGTCTCAGTAAAAGAACTCCCAAGTGCAGATTCTTGCTTCAGAAAGCGTTTTCGAGTTGAAATAAGTTGCATATACCTGTTTTTGCAGTTTTTCTTTTTCCTAATCCTGTTTATGTCGCTCTCTTGTATGTTCGAATATTTTGAGAGCTTGTCTGCAGAACAGTTTTATTCATTAGTTCAGTTGAGGTTGTCAATCTCTCATATTCGTATTTGATTAACTCATGTGATGAAAATTTTGGATTCTCAAATAAAACTCCAAGAAGCATTGTTGTAGAAAGCTATTACGTTGACTTTGTGTTGCTTGATCTATGGTTATACAATATTCAGATCTGTTAATACTGCCTTATCAGTGTGTGTTCTCCGCTTTTTTGCATCATGCAACTTTGTCGTGGACAAATTTCACTTGAAAGAAACTGTCTATTGCTCAAGCAACAGATAGAGATGGTATCTATATACATTTTTATATATACTAAATTTATCATGTTTCATACTGCTATATTCATTTTTCTGTTTCGAAGAATGTTTTCTGAAGTTCTTGTTGAATTTCTTCAACTTCTGTATTCGAGTATATGGTCTGTCCTTGATTTCCCTTATCTTGGTTAGCTTCTAGGGAGGTTGTTAAATGTGGAACACTTGTTAAGGAACCAATTGTGGCAATGAACGCTGCAACACTTGCTGCCGCAGTCGCTGCTTGTAGACACCCTGCTAACATTGTACGTGTTTACCTCACGACCAGCGAGTGAGGCAGCAAGTGTTGTAGCGTTTGTTGGCAGCATTGCTACTTTGGTTAAGAGAGATGATATTTTTCGGTGAAATATTTGCATGATATGATGTCGTTTAAAGTGTCTTGAACAGATATTACGTCTTTGAGAGTAAATAATAGTTACTTGTAAGGGTTTTATTTCCATAAAACTGTAAGTTTATGAAGGACTAGGAATGTAGAAGCTAACAAAACTGTACGGTTTATGAAGGATTAGGTACGTGCCCGCCAGAGGATTCCTCCACCAAATCTGAAACTGCCCGTTTCACGGCTGGGCAACTAGCAACGGCGCGAGGCAATTAATGGATCTATTGTAAATAGCGGCCATGGTTTTGATGGTCTGCGAAATTAGGATTCAAGAGAGTGGATGAGTGAAAGTTTGGACAGTGTTGAGCTTGGAATTTTTGAGGCCCGGGACGAGCCAAAAACTATGCCATAACTTTATATAAGAAAAAATATTTGTTTTCACATGTAAGATTTAGATAAAACTATACTTAGTAAAGCACTTCAAACTCTATTTAGAAACACGAAACAACTAATTTAGTATGTACTACGAGTAGGGAACAAAAAACCTCAGCTTACAAGTAGATAGATGCAGTGGCGAAGCCAGGATTTATCGGGAGAGGGGCGAACTTAAAAGAATGCAAGGTTAAAGAAAAATGGCAACAACTAAATCTTTTTATATAGTAATGTCTTCCATAATTAATCAATACAAACAAATTACAATTATACATACACATGATTCTTCTAATTCCCAACAATTCGTATCAATAATTTCACCCTAAAAAATAATTTCATAATTTGTATTAAATAACCATTACATGAATAATCAATAACCATATCATTTGATTCACATAATTAAGGTAGGGATTATGCATTTAAGAATTAAAAATTTTACCTTTAAATATTGATTGGAGCCGGCTCAAGCTCAGAGGAGAGGAGAGTGGCTCACTGGCTTGTGGAACAGAAATTAAAGAGAACTTTGTGGCTTTGGCTTGGCTGCTGGAGTTTGAAGAGCAACTTGGCTGAGATGGATGGTGGCCCGCTCTCTGTGTGTGTGTTGATTATTGGTGAAGAAGACAGAAGAAAAGGATAGAAAAGAGTAAAGGGTGTGCAGTGCGGATGGGGTGTGTGTGTATTGATTAATGACAGAAGAAGAAAGCTAGGGTTTCATTGGGGCGACACGCGGAAGCGGTCCCCCACCCCATTATAATATTTTTTTTTAAATTCAACTATCAAAACGGCGCCGTTATGATTTAGCTTTAAAAAAAAAATTAGAATGCAATCTGCACTGCAGATTGCCCAGAAAACCCAGAAAAACAGAGGGCTCTGCTGCGTGAACCATTATTTTCCGGCGAGGCGCGCGAGGGGAGTGGCGAAGACCTGGGGTCCAGTGGTGTTTCCCGGCGAGGGGAGTGGCGGCCGCCACTCCTCACTCCCACGTGGCTTTGCGACTGGATAGATGAAGAGTCTTGTTTCCCTTCTATCAGAACTTTTAAAGTGTTTCTATATAAATTGTGAGATGTTTTTTTTTTCTTGTTTACTAACCTTGTTAGTATAGGACTAAAAAAATAATCATATTTTCAAGTCTTTAATTGATATTTGTAAGTAATAAATGAACACTAAATTAACTATTTGTGACATGTTATATGATTTGCAAATTTGGTCTAAAAATTTGGTCTACACATTACTTTTTGTTGAATGTTAGACTTGAACTGGAATGAATGTTTAAAACTCAAACCCACATAGTTACTAGCTAGTAGTTAAAAAGATATTAACAACAAAACGGAAATTTGTAAATATTAGAAAGAAAAATTATTGGAAAGTAAAAAATATAAATTAATACTCGGGACCTCTCTTTGTTTTTTGTTTTTTGTTTTTTTTTTAACAAAATGACCTCTCGTTAATTTTAAACAATTATATCGATTTCAAATATCAATGACCAAAGTGAGGAGTTATGCAAATCTCATGGACCATTTTGGCTAAAAAGCCTTATGTATAATTATATAAGTTAAAAATAAACGAACGTACGAATAAATGATATATAACTATGAACATTATATTATTAATAGAAAACAAATAAACGAGATTGCTGAGATGGCTACAACCTGATGGCTATAGTTTTTACTAACCTATCATTCATACTTAACTATAAGTTATATTTCTAGGGTGCAAAACCTAAGAAACTCTAATTAGGATGGCTCAAATCCTAAACTAACAAGCAAACTCAAATAAGTAAATGTAAGACCATGAGTTTTCAGGGTCGAAGTAAGGCATATCAGATACACTTGCCTCAGAAGTTTGGTTATGTACTCAACAACCTCTATTGCGAAGTTGAATAAACGGAGCAGTGATGCCGCCATCATCATGTTTAGGAATCAGTGGGCAAAGTCCGACGACTTCACTGAGAGTGACCATGCTTGTTCCAGAAGATACATAAACCTAATCCAGCAAGGAGTTAATAGGTTTCCTATAATATTGGAGTCCTTACAATCTAAGGACTAGCGTGCGTCGTAAGTAATTACACTCCTAAGAGGATGCAATATCTAATTCCTAGATATCCTCTAGGGTTCTCCCGTTTAATAAGGATTTCTCTATAATAAAAGGTCATCTCCTCGATTGGTATAAATTCACCTTTCTAGGGTTATCTCTGTATCAATCCTAAACACGTCACTCGCTCATATTTGTGTCAAGTCTTCCGTTAGCTCCAAGTACTCCATATATTTTCTTAGTGTCTCTTTCCAAGTCTTCCTAGGTTTTTCTACGTTCCTTTTACCTTGAGCCTCTACCTCATAATTGCATCTACTAACCTGAGCATTTCTAGGTCTTTGGTGCACATATTCAAACCACTTAAATTGATTTTCTGTCATCTTATCTTCAATTGTGGTCATTCCTATTTTAACTCAGAAATTTTGGTTCTTAACCATGTCCTTTCTTTTATGCCCATACATCTAACAAACCATTCCGTTACATTCATTTTTTGCACATGTTAATGCTTAACCGCCCAACAATGTGTGCCATAAAGCGTTGTTGGCGTTATTGTCGTTCTATAAAAAATTTCCTTGAGCTTTAGTGACATACGTTGGTCCTACAATACATCTGATCCACTCTTTCACTTCATCCATTCAACTTGTATGGACGACAACTAAACATATCGATCCAAACTAGACAAACAATCAAAGGAGAAGTCGGAGAGGCAAAGAACGACAAACAAATCAAGTAGATTAAACCGTAAAGGATCAAACATGCTCTAATACCAATATGAAAAGATGATCTATGAGGTGTAACTTAAAAAATAAAATGTTCGGATAATTGAAGTTCGATGTTGTGTGGGCCCACAACTAATATCCATTTTCAAAAATAGGGATTCCTTCCCATATATATATTATAATAATTTTAAGTACCGTGAGAAGGCAAAACTATCCATTAAACAACTTGGCTTCACCTTCTCCGTTTAATACACGGATTAAATTTCAGTTGGCACTGCTAGTTGAATTTATGCATATTATTACTAGTCTTTGTCATAGTTTAATTAATTTATTAGGCGGCGGTTGACCTAAAATCAAGTGTTTGCTTAAGTACTAGGGTTTCTCTTGGATACACTACTTCACAGTTACCAATAGATAATGAACACGTTTATCAATAATTTAAATAATAATTTAATCATCAACTTTTATATTATTTAATTTACTAAATTTTATCGGTAAATTTAGTTTCTTGAACATTCCTCTTTCCCAAAAGGATATCTCAGTGCAATCTCCAATAAAAATCCCTAAACAGTGACAGGGCAACCAATAATGATAAAGACTAGTCTGCAATCATAAATATTTCACCATTCAGAATCTCAGATCGTCAACTGAATAAAATTGAACTAAAAGCCAAAAGGATGAAGAAAAATAAAGTCGTGACGTGGTGTCACTCCGACAGTTGGATACTTCGGATGGCGGTGATTGAAAGTCTGGTATGGTCAGGTCAATGTAGCCAAAGTCTTGGATCTGGTTAGTAGAACCACACCAGTTTCTTGATTTAACAATAATACGAAGACCACTTACTAGTCAACTTCATCGTGGTCGGCTGGAGAACTTCACACTACTTCGGGATAAACTTGCAAGTTCTTCAATCACAGTTTTCATGTTTTTGCTAAATTATATAAAATATATTTCTGTTCACACATTTTTTACAGCGTTTAGTGAGAGATCATTGCTTCCAAATTAATATTTATCAGTTTTAAATCATTCATGCAATGATAAACATGGATAGTATATATAGAAATCTGAACTGCTGATACATAGTTCAATGGAAACTAGTATTTTTCGGAGATCTTTAAGGGAGGGAGTTCAACTTGGGTGAAAGATGGCGAGCACATTGTTTAGGCCAAGTGGCCTACCAAATGTTCTCGTCTGCGTGGTTTTTTCAATATTAACTAGTTACTAAATTTATAAATAAACAAAAAAATCACAATTAGATTGCGTTTTTATAAACCAAATGTTGTAAGGCATCGTCTGAATTTGTAAGAATCCA